CTGTAGTCCCAGCTACTCGGGAGGCTGAGGCAGAAGGATTGCTTGAGCCCAGGAGTTTGAGGTTGCTGTGAGCTAGGATGATGCCACGGCACTCTAGCCAGGGCAACACAGTGAGACTCTGTCTCAAAAAAAAAAAAAAAACAAAAAACAAATATGACAAAATGTTGATATTTGTTAAATCTGGATATTAAGTCTGAGGACTTATTATTTCCTACAATTTTAAGATTTTTTTAAAATGAAAAAGTAAATATAAACATCTTCAAAGAATTGGAAGCAACTCGTACTAGCCATCAAATTGGCACTAACTGATTAACACTATGGTGCTCACATGGTAGTAATATTGTCCAGGAATTAGGGGGTTGGGGAGAGTAAACTTACAACTAATGGACGCAGTGAGCATTATAGAGGGGAAGGGCATGCCTCTAACCCTCGCTTGGGTGAGGGAAAGACATAAAATGTAACCAAAATGTTTGTACCCTCACAATATCCTGAAATTAAAAAAAAACAGAATTGGAAGCAAATATACAATTATAAAACTTTTCTTATAGAAACAATGCTATTATTACAACAATATTATAGTTTGATATTCACTATCGCTTTAACTTTAGAAAATGTAATGTTCTTACTGAATGTACTTTACTATAACAGTATTCATCCGTAGACTATAAAACTCAGTTACCAAATTTTGAAATCTTTACCTGGTAAAGCCTGGCATTCTTGTTGTCTCTGATCCCACTGGCAATTCAAGTTTAGTGAACAGCTTTTACAACTGGTAAGTTTGTTACAAATCTGTTCATTTCTCACATGACATTTGGTGTAGTTTTTGACAGACTAGAAAATTAAAAGATAAAGTATGTTATTTTTCCTCTGTACTGCAATGATTCTTAAGCTTTAGTGTATTTTTAAATCCCCTGATGAAATTTAAAATACAAATTCCTAATTCCAAATCCAATTCTACTGAATCACAATCCTCTGATTTATTTCATTAGTTTGTTTAATTAAATTAAATTTGGCCTAAAACTGCCTCTGCATGTAGTGAACTACAACTTATCTTAGTATGTAAACAAACTGCAACCTAACTTACAAGTGTATTCTTGTAATGGATAGCTAAATCTTAGCCAATCATAGCAGCTAAGCTTCAGCCAATCACAGGCTGCCAACTAATCAGACCACGTCCATACAAAATCCAACATTAAGCAGAACAAGAGTTAATTGAATACCAAGGAAATGCTTAGGCAGATTTTCATGCTAAGTCAACCAGTACTGAAATAGTTAAGATATGCAATTTCAATGAATTCCACAGATTTATCCAAGTCAAATTACTTGTGATAACCTAATTAATAAATAGTGCTATGTATCTGAATTTAAGAAAAAACTCGTATTTCAGAGTATGTAAATCCAATGTTAAACATGGACTTACGGAGAGCCTGGATGGCTACCTGGTCACTCCTGAGTCCTTAAAGCTTCCATTATTAAAATCTTTGTGCCCGTGACTTATCATGGAGTAGATAAAATGATACAAATTATTTAAAAAGTTGACGAGATGACTATTCTAAAATTTCTAAAGTGGTTTATAATCAATATTTGGTTTGTCAAACCCATAATTCTGGTAAGACAATTAAAAACCTCAGGTGATACATTTCTGGCACCTGGTAGATCATTTGAACACTTACAGATGGATTTCATTCAATTACTAACATCAATGCATATTTTCTGGTTGTATGAAGCTTTCCAATGCAGTGTGGCTGACACAAAAATAGTAGCTAAAAGGTTATTAGAAAATGCTCCCCTTTGGGAATGATAGTGGATCCTTGGGGGAAAAAAAGAGAGAGAGAGAAAAGGAAATGCTCCCTTATGGAGCATTCCTGGAGAAATCTCTAGCAGCAGAGATATTCAATTCAATGGACAAGTTATAAAATAGTTAAATAAGGTATTATATACACAAAATGGCATTAGGCAAAGCTGACTGGATTGCCTTGGTCAAAAGTACTACCAAACAATGACAATCAGATACACTGCCACTGAAAAACATAAATAGATCCCTTATAAAATAGTTGCTGTAAGGCCTGTACTCCTAAAATAGAAGCTCATGTATCTCTTGCTCTTATAAACTCAATACTGCAAGACTTTAATGCATTATGACAAAGTATATTTTCACTGGGTAAAAGAAGTACTTTGTGACCCACAAACTGATGACAACCAGACTTATCATGATCTAGCACCTGGAGATTGGGTCTTTGTAAAAGGCATCACAGAAAGACTACCCTTGAATTCTGTTATATGGGACTATACCAAGTTCATCTCTGCAGCAAAACTTCAGGGCCTTGAGCCTGATCTTTGGATCCACATCTCTCAACCTAAAAGGGCCCCTCCAGACTCTTGGGACTGCACATTAATTGGAGGCCTCAAGGTAAAAGTGACCAGGGAGGTTTCTCCTCAGAAGCAGATGACGTCATAGATGCAAAAAGCTATCCCAAGATCACAGATCATGACTTTTCTCCTTTGTCATCATGAAATCTTTGCTCCCTTGCCTCTTTTCTCTGTGTCTCTTTTCTGTTTATACATGGCAAGAAAATGCAATAATTATGATTTCATAATTGATAGCTTCCACAGGGAATGCAACTGAATGTTGGATATGTCATGTAAAAGTAAATCCTTACATGATCTTAGAGATTCTCTGGTTCACCTTATAATAAATTTCTCTGATGTTCCAAGTGCAATATCTGGTCTTTTATACAGGGTTAGGCTTTTAGATTTACATATTCAGATTCCTTGTTTAAATCTAACAGTAGAAAAATAGTAGGAAAAACCTATGATGAGGGTTTTGCAGTTAAATTATGCCATAAATTAAATAAGAAAACCACAAGAAAGATAATTCAGTATTTTGTAGACAAATTTATAACCCTGATTCCTTAATTGTTGAAATCATACAATCATGCAAGGATTCAACAATGGAACCTTAGACAAATATTACTAGTGCTTCTCTACTGGTGATCTCTAAATCACAGGCAGAGAACCATCTGCTGTGTCCCTCTAGGATATATTTTTATCTGTGCAGCATTTAACAACCAACCATATATGTGGGCAACCTCATGTCTCAATAAGTGGAAAATAAGGGGCCAATGTGGATTACGGATTCTAACAATACTGGTGTCACTTGACAAGAAATTGGAGACTAAGTATTGGTCTGCACCTCTTAATTTATACCATGAAATAAAGAGAAATTTGCCAGCAGGTACAAGTACCTCTAAACAGGCATCTTTTGGCGGAATGCTCCTTCCCTGGCTTGGCATAAATGTAAATGAGGTTATAACATCAAATGGATGCAGAGTGCATTGTATGGGGGAAGGGCACACATGTAGCCCTGGCTTGGGTGAGGCTAAGGCATTATAAGTAACTGAAATGTTTGTACCCCCATAATATTCTGAAATTTAAAAAATAATAATAAAAATTAAAAAAAGAAATTCTGTCTCAAACATTAGCTACTATAGCTGAATCTATTTCAAAGGCTATAGTTGCCCATTCTTTAATTTCTCTTGCTAAAGTTTTAGAGAACATGATTGCTTTGGACTATCTGTTGCCTGAGGAGGGGGAAGTAAGTGCAAGTCCAGCTGCACATGGATATATGTCTGATAGGGCAGAAACACATTATCATAAATCAACAAACAAGCTACTTGATTATAACAAGTAGATTCCTCTTTGGCTCATTGTTGATATATTTGACTTTGATTGGTTCAATTCATGGGGGCTCCTATTAAGGAATATACTTCACTCTTTTAGTATTACCCTCCTGATAGCCATAATAATAGTCTCCCTAGTATGCCATGTCCTCTCAAAAGTCTTAAATGCTCATATGTAGCCATCTGTTACATATCAAATGTTCTCACTGTGGTTAAAATAATAAAAACACAACGAGAATGTAAAGAAACATCCAACTGACTTGATGCTGTAAATTGTGAATTCCATCCTGAGACCAAACAAGTCCATTATGTTGTGACAGAAAGTAGCATCAGTGTCCAGGGTTTTGGTTAATCTCTCAAAATTGAGAGCTGACCAAAAGGGGAGAATTAAATTTGGCCTAACCCAGTATGTAAGCAAACTGCAGCCTAACTTACAAGCATATTATTGTAACAAATAGTTGAGTCTCAGCCAATCACAGGATGCCAACTGATCAGACCATGAACATATAAGGCAAATGGCTCATCACACCATGCCCAAATAGGGCAAATGTCAACCTGAAACCAATAAAACTATTTCTGTACATACCTTCCTTTCTCTATCTATTAATACTATCTGCCCGTGTTGCTGGGAGGAGCTCTCTGAACTTCTATTGGTTCAGGGTGTTGCCTGATTCATGAATCATTCTTTGGTAAAATAAACTCTGCTAAATTTAATTTGTCTCATGTTTTGCTTTTAACAAGTTAAACTATTGTTCTTGGAATTGGAATGAGTGCTTATTGAAAATAAAGTGTGCAACTTACACAATTTGAAACAAACCACCCAATGAAAACTTTTTCTGGTGAATTTGAAAATAGGCTTCCAATTCAATAAATGAAGTCAACGCACAAAGTCATTGCCCTTAATGATGACAAGAAATGATTTTAGTCTTAATAATACTATCATGTAAACCCTCGGGAATAAAGCAGAAATGATAAATTATAAAAGTTAAAGAGATACTTTATGAAAATCTAATACAATCTGAAAAGATAAATTATTTTCACAATAACTCAAACTAATTTTACTTCCATGGACATTGAACAATGGTTTTGGTTAGCTGATATTTCTCTTGTATGTATTTGTCACATTTCCTTCATCAAGGCTGCAAAGAACCTACAAAAGTTACCTTTTTTCCAAACCTACTAAAAAATGTAATCGTATTTCAACTAATTCTGGCACTGAAAGGTTAAAGGTAAAGAAAGAAAAAAAAATAGGGAATATAGGAAATTTGGTGGTAGTTCTTTACATATCCCCAGGTTCAGATAGTTCACATGATATTATCAATACCTATGAAAAAATCTACCTCATGAAAATCAGCTACTAAAATTTTTGGCTCACCTCTTCCTGTGGCTCTACTTTAGGAGGAAAAAAAATACAAAGGGCTTAACGCTGCACCCTCAGCCCCACTCCAATCTTTTTCCTTTTTTGTCTCCAGGTATAAATATTTATCTCAGGCCTACTAATGTAAAAGAGTTGATATTTATTTTCACTCAATAAGATTAAAAGTTAAAATTCAGTTATAACTGTCCCACATATAAAATTTATTGAAGCAATTTTTATCTGTTTAGATACTTTGAATATCATTCACCAAATATTTATTTATAAACTACTATACTTTCCTTCACAAAATACATTGCAGTCACCTCCATTCCAAAGACATTAATTTCTTTAGAGAAAATTGCATTTACTATGAGGTAACAGATAAAAAATATCCAGATAAAATTTTTATCTTTATTCATCCTAAAAAATCACAAAAGATACATTTTTGTAAATCTCAAATTACTTTGTGACTTTTTCAACCACCACATTTTTCATTAGGAACATACAAACTTTCTTATCATTATTTTTCTGATTCATAGCCTCTTGTTTTCATATAGCATATAAATCTTAGCATTGTTCTATATGATGATTATAGTTCCAAGCATTTGCCAGCTAACTGAAAAATAAATTTACTTGAATTATCAGATAAATAAAATAATCTATAAAAATGACAAGAGAATGGCTACACATGTTGCAATAATAGAAACAATAACAGCTTTATGTTGGTCTTTAGAATAATAATGGCAACATTATAGTCCCTATCCAAGTAACTCTACTGCTCTGCATTAAGAATA